TAATGATTAACGTAATTCCTAACTAGACGTGTATTTGTTACATTCTTTGGCTCTCTCTCGCGATTTAACAAAAATATCCTCCTGCGAAAAGAATCGTTATCGGAGAACAAAGCGTGCGGAGGGCGAAAACGTTAATTGCCGGCGTTACGGCCGGGCTCGTATATCATCCTGGGGATAGATTAGTGGAAAAGCGTGCGCGCAGGATGCGCATGGCTGCGCAAACGGACGAATGTAGGCTCTCGGTTCGAAAACGGCGAACGGTGCAGCGGCGGCGCGTCGTTGGAGCGACTAATGGACACCCCAGGTGAAACCATCAATAACGCGAGAAATTCTTAATTAATTGCAGCATATGGTGGCTAATTAAATGCGATACACGCCACGACGCCGGCGGCGGACATGCCCCCCGCATCGCCCTCCCGTTTTTTTCTCTCCATTCCCCCCCTCCTCCCCTTTATTTCATCCCTCTTTCACTCTGTCTGTTCGTATTCCTCTTTTCTCTCATCTCGCGAGTAATTTTTGAAATTTTGCCCATTTCCAAAAAGATATTTTTACGCAGAAATTAAAAATTGAAGATAAAAACTTGACTTTGTGCCATTACAAACATTTTTGCAAAAAATACAGAGATGCACAAAGATTAATTTAATATTATTAATAGACACTGCCAGGGAAACGTATATATTATTCTTTTTTTTAAATTAAATATAATTAACTCTACATGTTAATTTGTTTCTCTTTATAAATTTGTAATATAATTATTTTACAATTGATATAAAATATGATCAAAGAGGATTCCGTGAAGAATTTTCATTTAATAATGACATTTAAAATGACGCGCGAGAGATCTTGGTGTGCACCCGATACTATGTTATACAACGTTACGGCTCTTGCCAGAAGCGAGAACATCGGCATGCAAACCTGACAGGTCACGACAGAGTGTTCCTGGGGCAGCCCAACGGCAGCAGATTGAAGTCGTGCACGAAGCACGTCCCTGTCACGGCCACTAGGGGGAATTCTCTCTCTTTCTATAGTATTTCGCTTTTTTTTATATCTCGGATTCCTCCGAGCGCTATTGTTAAATCCGATATACTTTGCTCGCAAAATATTTCAATATCAACTCCGATTTTTCACGCACACGTATGGTAGATTTTTAATATTCTGCCATCACACTTGTAAGACGAAAGATAATTTTAAAACAGTTAGATATTTACAAATTGAATTCAATGAAAAATTAATGACAATCGAAAAAAATTAACATGAAAAAATATAATTGAAATACACTCTTTAAAAAATGTAAAATTGATTAATCGAAATTATGAAAGCTGTTTTCTGTCATGTGTTTACTTTGTGAGCAGTCTGTCTTCACTAATCGCGTGTTTTGAATTCAGAGAGTTAGTAAAGCAAAATGTGCGTGATTTTATTTGTTTTATGCGAGTTTAATGTACTTTCGAAAGGAGAGGAAAGTTATAAAACACATAAAATCGTAATGTCTTCTCAAGTTTACAAAATGTTAAACGGTTATTATTGCAGAGATTGTAACGCTTTGTAATATTTCAATAATTATAAAACCGAAATTAATTCTACGATATTCTCCAATGGAATAAGTAATGGAATCGATTTTTTAAAATAATGAATATTATATGAATCGTTGTCATTTTTCACAAGCGACGTAATTTCATATTCATCATTATTCCTATTGTCACAATCATTCCAGAGTTTACTTTTATCATTCTTCTCGTTTGCGGCACGAGGCGCAAACGGTTATTAAATTTATCAAATCTATACGCGACTACGAGCTCAATCATATTCCACGTGCCTGCTTCTCGGATTTCTTTCCGCTCCGATATTCATGTAGAGCACACGCAGCCGCCGACCATCGGCATCGCGGAAAATGAATCGTCTCTCCGTCGTTCCCTGTCGCTCCGAGCTCTGGCGTGCACCTTTCCACGCATGGATGCGTGCATTTGAAACGCCGAAGAGACCTCTCGGCGGCGGCGTACGTTACAAGGAGACCTCACCTGGGTCCCCTGGGTGTTAATAAACCGCCGCGGTTCGATATCGCGTGTCACGAAATTCCATTTGTCTGACTCAGCCGCGAGAGAATGCGTATCGTTATTATGCGCGCGCGTGTCCGCGTGGAAACACGCATGCGTTTATCATCCGCGATCTCTTATTCTACGCATCGCGGCGGCGTGTTGACGACGATTAGAATCTCGCACCATTGAACTCTCGGATAATCTCTCGAATGCAAAATTCAATATTTCTAACCGATGGAAATACAAAAGTAATCGGACACAGTTTTTAATTTTCAAAGAATTAAAAAAACTCACAATGAACCTTAAAATTCTTTAACATGTAAATATAACTAAATAATAAATCATAAAAAATTTTAGATTATTTACTTTAAATAATAAAAATATCAAAATGATGAAATATTAAAATTATTATTTCAACTATCATTGAAACAACCAATATAAATTTGTATAATGAAATTCATTGATTGTGTGTTATATTTAAAAATTAAAGTGTCAACATAAATATATATAAATCATACTTGGTTTTAACAATCTACTATTAAAATATTTTTATAATCTATTCTACAAAAATAATTAGTAAATAATTGATATTTAGCTTATTTACAATTTATTTAGAGCTGTAAAACCCTACCCTAGTTGAAACTCCCTCTATTTTTATATAGCAAAATATTCTTGCTATTTAATTTGCAATTTATAAGGCAAAACATGCAATTATATCGCGTAATTGAACGGTTCACAAATTACCGTTGGATTTCAAAGATGTTTCGCGCGAGCTAAGAGGGTTAAATCTTTAATCCTTCTAATTAATAAACGCCGCGATATAAACTATAATTTTCGTAACGCTGCCTGGTGGAAGAGGGTCTCTGGAAGAGGCCCTGTCGACCGAAAAGCAATCATTGCAATCAACAAGCGGTAATGATTGACCGGCTTAATAGAATCCGGCGCGTGATCTTAAACACGTGCCTCGGAACGCGAGAGCGGAAGGAGGTGAACGTACCCTTATACCGACGTAATACTGTTCCTTCTCGAGACAGGGCCGTGTACGAGTTACGTTCGCGTGCTTTCCACTCACGTGAGTGCCGCGTAATGCTTAATATTTCACTGTGGAACGCGGCCGCTTTTCACAATTACACGCTCGTCGACCATACTTGATGGGCATATCACTCTTTATCCCGAAGCGGCATTTTTCATAGGCAAAATATATACGGATGATACAGAGAAGAGGCTTAATCTTAATTTCTCGATAAAAGCCGGAAGGATAATCGATACATTAAACGCGGAAGCGTATGTGTGTAATGCTCTTCGAAGAATCGCGACGTATACCTTTCCATAAACGCATTTCCATTTACATACATATTTTTTCTATGCACGCAGTATCCACTTTACTTGCGTGTAGGCACTACGTACGTACAATGTACAAACGAGTTCCGATCGGCTACATACGCAATCGAGCGGTCTCTCGCGTTTAAGAGGCTAGTAATGTATATCGCGAAAAAGTCGGAAAATAACACGCTTATGTCCCATCCGCGTCGAAGCGTTTACTCCCCATTAAAACGTTTCTCGTGTCAGCAGGGAGGATAATCGCGCGATAAAGCGGCGGTTATGATCCTATGAAACGTTGCTCGATATATTCGCATGACGTTTGCCTTTTAAACCAACAACGTTACGTAGAATAACGAGTTAACTCGGTAAAAATTAAAAAATACGCCAACGTGTCTGTGCATCGTTCACCTGCAAACTCCTTTAAACTTAATTTACACGAAACTCTAGTTCGTCTTTACGTAATGTCTTTAGAAAAAGAGAGAGAGAGAGAGAGAGAGAGAGAGAAAGACGCGGAGAAGAGAATTATGAAAGGCGGCTAGTCATTTACGTCGTTATTCTCTATAAAGGAGTTATCCACGCCCTTCGCGGCGAGAGGACTAATTAGCGTACCGGAAGATTAGAGCGGCCGCGAGTAATCTCTCCCCCTTCTCTCTCTCTCTAGCCAAGTAGTAACGGTAAAATCGAGATCAGTCACCCTCCGAGCGAGTAGAACGAGCTGTTTGCGGGTATCTCTCCGTCGACATTCTCCGCATTTACATTTAGCAGCAGCGGTTACCCTCAACCGCGCGATAAATTGCCATTTCGCGTAGATACGGCAAAATTTCTCCGATTGTAATTCGCAATCCGATGTGGACGGCCCTAATTTACACAAGTCGGCTAATGGAGTGGAAGTAGGAGCTCGCATATTAGACGCAAAATTACACAAAATTACGCACGATTGCGTGCACAACGCACGCGCGCAGGCCATAATTAATATTGAACAGTTTCTCGTGTGGGTGAAGGTGTGTTCAATGCGAACACGCGTTAACGAGCAATCGCGTAATCCGAGGCAATGATATAACATAACCGTGGGCTGTCCTAGTTTCTGGAGCGAAAGACAGAAACAGTTGCGTTACCATCTGTTACAAAGAGACACCAGGGCACGCATGTCGGATAAACGCGTGTCGGACCGGTTCTAGGTGGGTGGCGGTACTCTGTAATAACTATGAGATGCGATTTCCATCGTATCGATCGTCGATGAGCGTCTGAGAAAGTGCGAGAAACAGGCTCTTATTCTTTTTCCCAAGATTACATATTTTTTTTCGTCGACAAAATTGAATAAAATTAGAAATGAATTTGTGTAACGTTATTTTTCACTTTCTTAAACCCGATTGTGTGCAAATTCTTCCAACGCGCGCTGATATATTCAGCTTAAAAGACCGAGTTTAAATTTACAAATGTATTCGATAATAAATTAGCAAGAGAGCAAAATCAACGCGCGCGAATTGGCGATTCCACCGTTACGTTTTCGTCGTCGCAGAAAAACGATCGATCCTGGACGATAAATGGAATGAATGCTATCATCGACGACGCGCGCAGCGCGCGTCATAAATAATTTATCTCGCAAGAGCTAGCGTTAAAGAGGCAGGAGGGGAATTTACTCACCATAATCGGAGCGCGATCTCGCCGCTCGGATGCAGAAGAAGGTGATCCGCCGACCGCAGCATCTGCAACGAGAAGAGAGAAAAATCTCTTTCACAGCCGTGCTAATTCACCGTTACATCTATCGGCGCGATACGCTTCCGGCATAAGGCACCGAGACACGATCGTCGCGAGCGAAAAGGAAAAAAAAAACGAAAGAAAGAGGAGAGAGAGAAACGTCATAAATATGTATAAATTTTTGACGGTGAGAACGTGAAACTGGAATTCCTCATCGCGAGGGAAACGCGTCTACTCCGCGCCTCGCCTACGTCAATAAAATCGCAGAAAGGACGACGTTGACCTCCGCACGACACGGAGAGGACGACGATTCCCCGCGGATTCGAGACTCTACGCTATCCCCCCCCCCCTCCTCCTCTCCCTTCCTTCCTTGCCGAGTCGTATAGATGTTCTCGCCGGGAAATGGTCTCGCAGCGTGCCTTCCCGCGAGATTATCTCAACCTCGAGGTCATTGAGAATCGCATAAATAAAGCGCAATTCAAGGAGCGCGTTGCACTCGCCAGTTGACAAAGGGAAGGGAGAGGGATAAAGGGAAAAATCGTAAAGAGGGTCGAATGAGATCCGGAGAATCTAGATTTCAATGTATTTCAAAAAGAATATGAGACACGTATCTCGCAAAATTTTTCTCGTTTTACAAGGTAAAGGAGATGCAGTTTTTTACGATATTAATCTTAAAACATTAATATCCCAACATATTTGTGAAAGAGATTTATTTTAATTAACAACGATGCCTCCCTCCTACCTGAGGTTTGTCAGAAGAGATATTAATCAGTAATCTCTCTGATATTAATAAATCTATTATTTATATATGTATAATACTAATAGAGAGAGAGAGAAAGAGAGAGAGAGAGAGAGAGAGAGAGAGCGCTAATAAGATATTAATAAATTATTATAATTAGTAATACCTAATAAATTATTATAATTAATAATTATTAATAAATTATTATTAATTGAATAATATTACACAATTATTACGTAGAAAGGGTCACGTACAAAAGAGGGAACATTATTTCTCTCGCTTTTTCAAAATCCCTCGTCTTTCTTTATAGGGCGCGGTGCGTGTCGAACGAGATCTAGTCGCCGACTTTTTTCCGGGAACCGTGTTCCGGAATCGTGCAGGAAATCGTAGTTCTCTTGTAGGAAAGAGTCTAGCATCCCGTATGCGAGCGACCGGAATTAACGTCGTTTATTTCTATTTTCAGTCTCGAAAATCTCGAATCCGCAGAGGCTTGCACACGGCCTCTATCACGGCCTTCGCAGTCGCGAATTAGCGCGCTATAATTTGACTGCGGCAAATTGACTTTCTTATCGCTCGACAAGGAAATGAACCAATCGGAGCTCGCTATAAAATACGTCCCCGTAATATATCGCGTGAACGTATATTCATATCATTAAACAATTTCTTCTCCGAAACACAATGGAATGTGAACAATACTCGATATCCTCCTTCCCGATGCACTTGTCAATTCCGCTTCATTATTTCTTTCGACACGTACTAATTTAGACTTCCATTCGCACGATCGTTAAACAATCAGTCTCTTGGAACACTTTGCATAGCGGATTTCGCGATCCAGGATTTTTTTTCTTCTCTCGAAATTCACGTACTTGGAAGAGCGAAAGTTATATCACGCTGGAGATGGGTGACAAAGAGACATCCTCGAGGAAATTACGATTTAGTTCGCCCGAGTACGCGCGTTACACGATACGATCATTATCGTGGCGGACTTTTAAGAGCAGTAAACTAAGCGCGCGCGAGACGTAACGTTATAAAATCAAAGGGAGATAAAGAGCCGCGAGAGCGCGGGATGGGCGACGTTTATAATAGCATCGGGTGATAAGAAGATAAGAACGCCTTAGACACGCACACCGAGTGTCAAGTTTTTCGTATCGCATACCTTTTTGTCGTGGATAGTCTTGGATTACGGCTAACGATACTTATGGGAATCTACGGACTCGCTTTCTCGCGATAGAATTAAATGCGCACGCAACGGAGAATACACTTGGCGAATAAATGCCAGAGCATACTTTGAATCGATACTTTTCGATGTCTCGTGAAATTCTTCCGAATTATCTTTCGCTTATAATGAAAAAAAAAAATTTATTACAACGGTAAAAAATTGTTGATTCTACTCATTAAAAAGAAGACAGAAGATTTTTAAAAAAATTATAAAGACGAAAGGTTAAAGAATAAAAAATTCATAGAATTAAGTTGTACGAAAAATTAAAAAATTACAATCATATAACTCACGTGGAGAGAAAATTTTATTTTGAAAAATGACGGACGATTATTTCTCGCGTTTTAAAAAAGGACAAGATACATATTTCTGACATACATTTCGACATATATTCCTAAAGTCTTTACTGCGGGGGGGAGGGGACACAATGAGGGGTTGGCCCTTTCTCGCAGATGCATTCGGATGTGCAATGTGGGTCCGCAGAGAGTACCCGTTATTCCCGACGCGCATGCAAATCGTTATTATCGCCGTTGTTATTATTGCGGTGCCAGATACGAGTGCGCGCCGCATGACAATAGTCTCTTTCGTACGTACATATAAGGCGAAGGTTTCTCTCTCGTATAATAACTTCAATTTGAAATTAGCATACACGCACGACCGGTGAGTGCATCAATCCGCTTACAGAGTTTACGATAACGCGTCGCTCGACATGACATCTTTATTAAAACTCTGTCGAAATAATTTCGCCACGGATAATGACCGTTCGTGAAATTCTCTGCTGCAGTTAATATAACGAGTCAATAATCCCTCGCAAGTGTTTCAATAATTAATGAATGACATGCGGGACAATAATTGGCATCGCGGCATTAAACGTCGTTATTGCACAAGCAAATTGACCTAGATTATAATATATTTCAATATCGAGGACGCTGTTCTCTCTCTCTCTCTCTCTCTCTCTCTCTCTCGGGTGATTTATTTTTCATATGTTATACATAATATAAATACAATATTCCTCACATAGTCTTCTAAATATTTTAATATCGTAATAGCGCCGAGCAGAACGATAACTAGATAATATAAACTTGCAACCCCGCGTCGTTCATCATCACGGTACATCGCGCATCTTCGACGATAAACGACAACGACGACGACTACGACTACGTACAACGACAGTAGCGTGTAAAACGCGGGCATGCTTATCCGCGCGCGCGGGGAGAGGGGCTTAATCTGATCGGCTATTATATACGTACGATGTACAATAACGTTCGCAAGCGAGCGCGCGTTGCTTACAAGAGCGAGCGAATAGAGACGTTGGAGCGTGCAACCGCGTTGCTCGTGCGATGCAAAATCGATACTTTCCCCAGCCGAGCGCGGCCCTCGCACTGACCTATCGGGCGCATCGGGTAACTGGGTGAACCCAGTAGCAAGGCGATAATAAATTAATCATCTAGTTATCGTGTACACGGGCGTAATGACTACCCGTGTTTTGTCCGTATATCGCGGATCGTCCTTCGATCGGCAACGCGAGAGATTCCACCGCGATTATACAGATCGAAAGACGAAGCGCGTGAAATGAGAGAGCCGGTGTTCCCTGTAATTCTCATGGGAAAATTGTTTATATGTGGTGCCTCTCACCGTCGTCCCTACTCGTGTACGATATCTCTCATCGCGCGTTTCGCAGTTTGCGAGATCAGCTGACGATTAGCCTCTCTCTCTCCGTCTCTGATTAATGCGTGTACTTATGGAAATTGCCTTTTGAAATCTCAGAAAAGCGAGGCCCCAAAGTGTAACAGCCGCGACATATAAATGTCGTCTCGATGGCAAAACGAGAGACGGGACGCGCGAGAATAATCTCGACTCGTTTTACAACGGCCCGGATTTTACGCATCTCGTGTAGGTTTCGCCTCCTCGCAAAGTTCTTTCTACGCCGTTGCACCGCGGGTCTCTCGTACGTGTCCTTTTAAAGGCGCCTCCACACATGCATCGGAAGGCCACGAAGGAAAAACACGGGGGTGCGCGCGTCGCTGCGGCTCGGAACTGGCTATAAATAGGAGTACAAGCGCGCGCTATTTCCCCTTAATCCGGAGAAATTGCGCGGCTTCGAGACCGGTTCCGGTGCTGCAACGCGTTTCCAAAGGTGCGTCTTTTAATACGCTTTTAATGAAGCGGTTCCCACAAATATCCTAATTATCGCGAGATTATCGCGCAATGCGTATGCGTGCGTCGTCAAGATCGAAACATCTACTTCTTCGAAGAGACGCTGCTTCGAAACTGATTGTAAGATTAAACCGCGAGCATCGATTTTTCCGTAAAAATTCGCCGGATTTCCGGACGGAATATATTATAGCAAAATTATAGGCAAAATTTAATATTAAAATTTCATTCCGGCCCGGAAACAGAAAATTTATCGCGTCTCATAAGTCTCATTCGTAAACGGAATGAACGATAATCGCGACTTTTGTCTTGTAAATTTCGAGTTGAATTGTGAAAGGGGACCGGTCACATTATTTCGCTGATAATTTTAACCTGTTGTTGAGTGCGCAGAGACCGCCGCTTAAATCGCGAATGGTAATATTATAATGCGATATTAAGTATAATATACGATTTTCAAGTTAACGATGGTGCAGTTTGCCGGCAGCCCGCAACGAGCTTAAACAAAGAAGATCGTCTGGTTGGCATCGTAAATTAAAAGATACATTTCGAGAAGTATAATAATTTCCCACAAATTCTTCAAGCATAGAGATTTCTCGGAAATAATAAAAATATCAAATACTTTAATGCAGCTCTAATTTTTTGCAAAATTTGCGGAAATAATTCCAGTCCAATTTTCAATTTCGTTGTCAATCTCAATTTGTAAAAAATAAACGTTGCATTATGTCTATTTATTAAAGCTTCCGATCGTCTAATAAATAAAATCCTTTGTTCAACACGGAACAATTAATGAACAGTTACGCGGGGCGAGATAATTAATTAATATTATTATTGCCTTTATAACACGAACATATTCTCTATGTTAATCGCAAACGCGCAACTCATTACCCCGTCGAACACCT